TACCGAACAGTATGTGTGTAAGAAATAGGCCCTGCCTGTAACATCTGGCAGCAAAAGCAACTTCAAAGTTAGTTCTGATCAACTCAAACGGTGGTGAGAGGTGTAAATAAAATAACATGTCATCTCTTCCTTTTCCAGCCAAATGATAAATGTACGTTAAATTGGTTAGCACAAAATGCTAAACTCATATATAATCCCAACAACTACTTTCTCGCGTACCAGACATTTTCTTTCTCTCGTTCATCCTATATGATGATGATCTGTTCTGTTTGTGGGGTCCCACACAAGTTTCACTTTTTTTTGTTAAATGTGCAGCATGATAAATCCTTAGATTAATAATAGGAAGGCCACAAGTCCCTTTATTTTTCAATCTAGGTGTTCTTTTACACCCAAATCGACACAATTTTGATTATTTGGAGAAGGGCTTCGTTTGAGCACTAAGTTTGACCCTGCCTGTCAGGACCAACCTGTGCTGAGAAGAATACAATTTCCCAGCAGAAAGACGATGGTAGGCCTACTTGCTAAAAATTCTCCCCTCAGGGGAACTGAACTTAGGTGTGTGATAGTGATAGAAGAGCAGCTACTCACTACCCCACAATGTTGGCCCCTTGTTCTTCAACCTGGCTGGGAGACTCTTCTATTCTATAGAATCTCATTATATATATGATATATATATATTATAAGGAGAATGTGTTGGAAAAAAATAAGAGACAAACAGAGCAAGTAGTCAAGTAATGGCGGTGGCCACTTGAATTCTGAAGAAATCTCAAGTACCGTAGCAGACACTAGCTTTGAGTGAAAGCACAATTGTCAACTGCCTGCCCCCTCTCCCCAACCTCAAAATCATGCGTTAAGTTCATTAAGAAAGAGACTTATTAAATTAAATGTACTTTCCAACCCCTTAAGACCTAAAACCTTTGAGTTTGAGTCAAGTAAAGCTATTTGTAGGGTCAGCCTACAAAAATTTTTTTTCACCCCAATGACTTTTTAAAAAATCGTTCCAATTTTCTTGATTCAAGAAACAAGCAAAAACTAAAGCAGAACCCCCCCCCCCCCCCCCC